AAAATCAGCCAAATCCATCCAGGGGTTAAAAAGTTAGCTGGAGGTCCCTTTATGACCGACCGCAAGCACATTTTCCTGCCCAAAACAGTTCAATAGATTTGGGCTGTGAGGTCGGTCTATTTCAGGCTGAAAAAAAGACTAAGTCCCATCGCCGAATGGGACTTAGTCTCGCAGCTGAAATAAGGCTGAAAAAAAACGGCTGAAAAAAAGACTAAGTCCCATCGCCGAATGGGACTTAGTCTCTGCAGCTGAAATAATTTCCCATTTACTGAACCAAGTGGGAAATAGCAAGGCAGGCACAAAGGGTTTGCACCAGGTCTGGGGACACAGGGGACACCGTCTTAAAGGGGCCGTGTCCCCAACAAGTCTGGGGACACAGCCTTAAAGGGGCAGTGTCCCAATCTTCCTGATGTCCCAAAAAAGGTGTTTAAAGGGCCAGCACCAGTCACATAAAGAGTCCATAAGCCCCAATATGCCTAGGGCAGCACAAAACCAGGATACACCACTGCCTGTACCATTGTTCTCCAGCAGGGCGTTGTCCCAAGGACACTGCCAAACCAGTTGGAACTAGCTGCTTTGTCCCTCCTCGGTCAAAATATGACTTGCACCTATCTCCTGAACCACTTAACCGATTCAAGTGAATTTTGTATATGTTTGTCCCAAATTATGTTGGTTATAAAAATATAATTTTATTTTTAATTTTTTTTGATATCGCATGTATCTCACAAAGTTAAAAAATTGGCATAAAAGTGTGTTTTAGCTTGAGATAATTGAGTTGATTCAGTAATTAACTCACTATCTCCAAGCAGAGGGAGGATCACCCCCTGTAGCAGCAGTGTGTCCCACAGGGAGCAGAGACAGTCAGCAGGACAATGGTATGGGAGTCTTAAAGGGCCATACACACCAAATAAAAGTGCATACATTTTCACAATCTCCCAGGGGCCATAGTCATGCGGGAGGAGGCTGGCAAGTAGGCTTCTCCACAACCCAGGGAAGCAGGGCAATTTGCCATTTAAAGGGCCCGTTACAAATAGCAGTTTGTAACAAGGTGTCAATCCATATCTGCCAAGTGACCCGATGTAGGGGACCAGTCCCTATTCTGCTCTGTGTCAGTGTGTACCAGGGAACCTTAGGACAGGTGTCAATCCATATCTGCCAAGTGACCCGATGTAGGGGGAACAGTCCCTATTCTGCTCTGTGTCAGTGTGTATCAGGGATCCTTAGGACAGGTGTCAATCCATATCTGCCAAGTGACCCTATGTAGGGGGACCAGTCTCTATTCTGCTCTGCGTCCGTGTGCATCAGGGGCTCTGAGGACAGGTGTCAATCCATATGTCAAGGTGTCAATATGTCATATGTCAGTTGTCAATCCATATTGATTGTGATTTAGGAATGTTAGGTGATTTTTGCCCTTTATGGATTAAAACCAGACTCTGTATCAACTGTGTAATTTTCCATGGGAGTTTTGCCATGGATCCCTCTCCGGCATGCCACAGTCCAGGTGTTAGTCCCCTTGAAACAACTTTTCCATCCCTATTGTGGCCAGAAAGAGTCCCTGTGTGTTTTAAAATTCGCCTCCCCATTGAAGTCAATGGCGTTTCGGGCGGTTCGCCGGTTCGCGAACATTTGCGGAAGTTCGCGTTCGCCGTTCGCGAACTGAAAATTTCGGGTTCGCGACATCACTAATAAGCACACTCCAAAAATCATTCTGTCTACTTGAAATAAAGTGATTTGTTCGACAAAAAAAAAGTTGACTCACTACCCCCAAACCGGACATATATTTGTCTGCTTCCTGGTCACCATTCAGCTTTGAAAAAAAAAGTCTTCAGGAACTGGCCCTCCCTTCCTGGAGCAACCTGTATTACCCCCTTTTTAGTGTATGCATTTTACTCTTGTTTTTTTGCAAACAGCTATTCAGTTTGGACGTATTTAATCATTATGCCAAACTAAATATCCTGAGAGAATACATAAAGGAGAACTTGGAAAAAGGTTTTTATCGAACCTTTTACCTCACCCGCTGGTGCTGGCATATTTTTTACTTGCAAGAAAGATGGTAGTTTTCAACCTTCTGTGGATTACAAAGACTTACATATTACAGATTACAGAGATAACATTACTGTAAAAAAAAAAAAGATATCCGTTGCCTCTTATACCTGAATGGGTGGAATGACTCAGAGATAAATACACCACACTTGACCTAAAAGGGTGTTTAATTTTGTGATTAAGTGCCCTTCGCCACTTGTGCCTGGAGAGGACTAATTGCCAGCCTCTTGCCTTGTGACTATGGCCCCTGGGAGAGTTTGCCCTTTAAAAACATTATTTGGGCATATTGGATTTTATTGCACTGTTTCTGCCCCTTTGATTCCATGGGAAGGTGTGCCTCTTCCCCTCCCCCTGTACCCAGGGGCGTATTAGCCGCGAGGCAAACAAGGCATTTGCCTTGGGCGGCATTTTTCAGGGGGCGGCAAAAAACGCCGCCCCCCAAATGCCCAGGGCAAATGTCTTGTTAGCCTCGCGGCTAACAGACATTCTGGGCGCTGGGCGGCAGTGGCTGCAGCGCTGGGCGGGCGGCCGGCGAGGGAGCTCTTCCCCTGAGCGCTCTGCTCAGCTCCCTCGCGCGCCGCCAGCAGAGTGAGGCTGGGAGCCGGGTTGATGACGTCATATTCCGGCTCCCAGCCTCACTCTGCTGGCGGCGCGCGAGGGAGCTGAGCAGAGCGCTCAGGGGAAGAGCTCCCTCGGCGGCCGCCCGCCCAGCGCTGCAGCCACTGGACCCCAGGGAGAGGAAGATCCCCCCCCCCAGCATTACCAAAGGTAAGGAGGCTGGGGGGGGTTAAATAAAAAAAAAAAACACTAGTGAGTGTGTGTATGTATGTTAGTGTGTGTGTGTGTGTGTTAGTGTTAGTGTTAGTGTTAGTGTGTATGTTAATGTTAGT